TGGAAAGGGAGGGAGGGAGGGAGGGAGGGAGGGAAAAAAAAAAAAAAAGAGAGAGAGAGAGAAAGAAAAATTGGTCTGAAGATTGGGGTCATTGTTGCAATAAATATGACCTTCTACTTTTTAGGCCTGTGGGATCCCTTTGTGAGAGAAAGGTAAAAAGATTTAGAACTTTGAACTAGAAATGTCCTTGAATGTTTCAAGCAGGGCTTACTGTGCTGTTCTCCTCAGATCTTGGATGTAGCTAGAGTTTTCCTGTCTGGCCCACAGTCAGGACAAATCTCTGTCACCCTCCAGTCCCACAGCCGCTCAGACCCAACCAAGTAGACACAGAGACTTATATTGCTTACAAACTGTATGGCCGTGGCAGGCTTCTTCCTAACTGTTCTTATATCTTAAATTAATCCATTCCCATAAATCTATACCTTGCCACGTGGCTTGTGGCTTACCGGGATATTCACATGTGGCTTGTCATGGCAGCGACTGGCAGTGTCTCCCTCCACCTTCCTGTTTTCTCTGTTCTCTCTGTTAGTTCCACCTATACTTCCTGCCTGGCCACTGGCCAATCAGTGTTTTATTTATTGACCAATCAGAGCAATTTGACATACAGACCATCCTACAGCACTTGGAAGACAAGAATGCTGAGAGAAATGCAGCGATTGGAAGTCTAGGTCAGACAGTGTCAGCAGGGAATAAACCTCTTTCAGGAGCCAGATTAGAGACAATCCATGTTATATTCTGGTTTCATTCTGTTCATATCCTGAAAACTTCAAGAGCAAACATAAAACCAGTGAACTAACACATTTGACGGGAAATTCAAAGCAGGATGGTAATCAAGCTATGGGGGTGGCTACTTCCTAGTGCTCTAATTTAGAATTACAGTGAGAGACACCAAAAGGTAAGGGAAGTGGGAATCTCATCAAGGAAATCTGTGTGAAGAAGTAAAACATTTCATGTAAGGAAAGCGATGAGGGCAAAGCTTCTGCAATTGTTAAAAAGAAACCTCATGCTCATCATTGACAGAATAAGAAATCTGCCTGAAAAATAAAGAAAAGACTACACCCATCAAAAGCTCCAACTCATAGAAATAACTACTTGAAATAACAGCCCAGAAAACTGATGTTGCAGATTCAGCCACCAAAGTGTACAGATGTCTTTATAACAGTAGTTTAATGGGAGCAGGCTCCATACCAAGATGGAAGTAGAACATGACAGCATCATACACATGACACTGATTTGTAGTTATTAAAGACATAAGAATGATCAAATAACAGTCTTGTTCCATGGTTTCAGAGGGCTATTGGAGTCAGGCAATGTGTGGCAGCATCAGAGTAGCTGTAAGGAGGCCTTAAGAGGCCACCGAGTGAAACTATGAGGGTAATGGGATAGACAACCCTCTATTTTGGAAATGCCAGCACTATGGGATATCCACTAATGATAGTTAACAGGCTAAGAGTGGAGCTTGCCAAAGACATAGGCTGTATATGCTTATGATGCAGGCAGTGGAGATGAAGAAGTGACTATCCTAGCCATGTAGTCCAGGTGATAGTATTATGAGCCCTAGATATCAAAATGGAACAACAAAATTGGGTCTTTGCCATACTGTGTTTTCATCTTGAATTGGTCAGACCATTCCTTGCTATATCTGAATCTCGCCTTTCAAAAAGGGGGCATTTATTCCTCACCTTCATATATTGGAAACGCATAACATTCTGATGTTATAGAGGTTAATGGCAAAGAGATTACTTGAGTCTCAGAAGAGACATTGAACTTTCGAACGGTTTCAGGATAGTTACAGATTATGGGGACTTGTAAAGTTGAACTAAATGCATTATATATATATATATATATATATATATATATATATATATATATGAGCTTATGAGGACATGGGTTGGAAGGTGATGGCTTAAATGTAATGTATGGATGTCAGTTCTATAAGGTGTACAGTCATGATGGTTAATACTAAGTATCAACTAGGTATAATTTAGAGTCACGGACAAGATAAGCCCCTGGGCATGCCTGTGA